ACTTACCGGGCGATGGATATTAATTTGGGTTGATTTTCAGATCATCCGATTATCCATCGAGAGATGGATGCCGATATTTATCGATATGCAAGGACTAGATCAATGTGTTGTCTAAATATGCTATGAATGTTGTGCACATTCACTAATGTGGAAAGGTAGACATTGTGAACTTTATGACCTATATTCCCATGTTGATCATGGTGACAAGTGACCTCTGTGAACCGTGGCACACTAGACACTTTATAAACATCCAAAATCCATATCTGACACAGATCTATTATGACTTCATGACATTCAAAACAACAATGTCATTCTAGGTAGCAAACAACAAAAAATTAGAAGAAAATAATCTAAAGACACATCAATTAAAAAAAACCTCAAGATCCGTAAATGTGCATAAAAAAGACTGGAATTTCAACAATACCTTACATTTTTTCAAGTTTCTCTCTCATTTCTGAAAGATTCAGCTTTGATTTCACCGGATTTTAAAGAAGAAGAAGCAAGTTTCAGAAGAGAGAGAAATCGTGTAAGAGAGAGAAAGCTCTGTCGAAGAGAGAGGAAGAGAGAGAGAGACCGAAATAAGGGAAGGAGAGAGGAGAGAGAAATCCTAAGTTTTGACATTAAAAAAATTAAATCTAAAATAATAATATAAGGCATTTTGGTCATCAAACATTTGAGAGGGTATAATAGAAGTGGATTTTTTTTTTATTTAGGGAAGGATAGAGATAGAAATACATGTAACATATTAAGGGTAAATCAGATAAACCCCTCTTTTACGATGTATGCATATTTTTACGACAGATTTATAAATTAATTTATTTATCGATAAATTTGTTCTTTTATAGAATTAAAGAAAATATTATTCGAGAGCGTAACCAAACCTTTTCACGAGAGTGTTGAGAGATTTGAGGTACGAATAACATGCGTATGAGTTTTTTTGGGTAATGGAGTGTTTTGATAAGAGGTCTAAACTAATCTCGAATCCAGGATCAAACCATATAATTGGAATTATGTTTTTCTCTCTAATTTGAAGCTCGAACTCGAGGAACTGGTAAATGATCTTGAAAGCGATTTCACTAAAAAAATTTATGAAGTATTTGATTTGAGCATTATGAAAAAGCATATTTTTCAACACAAGTTCTTGAATTTGCTTGGTATATTATGTGGTTACATCGTCAATATCAACAAAGATAAGCTTCCTGGTCGGGTCCAATTGGAGAAACTTGAATAGGAGATGGATAGCTACAACGGTTTAAAAAAAAACAGAAATTTTTTGCGTTTTATATTTAAAAATAGTTGTTTCCAAACATTTTAAAAAATTGCTGTTCCATTAATATTATTTAATTTTTTAGGGCATTACCTAATTACCATACTACGGGAAAACTCGAAATGTAAATTTTAAGAGGATTGAGTTAATGGGCTTAGAGTCTCCGGCCCAGTAGTTCACATCCTCAATACATTTGCCTTCGTTGTTTCCTAAACCCTAGAGCTTTCTTTTTGCGAAGCCGCTTGCATCGTGAGCCTTCTCGCCGTCTGCTAGGGTTTACGCTCAGACCTCATCTTCTTCTTCTTCTCCGAGATTTTCTGCAAATAATCATGGTGAGATTTCGTGCTTTTCATCTCTTTCGTTTTGTGTAATAGTGTTTATTTTGCCTTGGAAGGTTTCCGTGTTCTGGTTTTGGAGGATTTGGATTCGAGATTCTGATTTTTTTTTAATTCGGATCTGCGGGGTTTGTCAGGTTCTGCAAAACGATATCGATCTGCTCAACCCTCCGGCTGAGCTTGAGAAGAGAAAGCACAAGCTCAAGCGTCTCGTCCAGTCCCCTAACTCCTTCTTCATGGTACGTATTTTGTTTTGCTTTAGTTTAGGTTTCTGGAATTCGGTGGTCAATCGTTTAAGGGAACCTTGTGTTCGTTTGATTTTCGTAGAAAGAGGCTATATACATTGGTAAAATCGGATCTACTCCATAAGGATCTGATTTCGAATTCCTGATTTTGCAGGACGTGAAGTGCCAGGGATGCTTCAACATGTGAGTTTTCAATCATCCTTGATAGAGTCTCTTCTTCTAGATTAGGTTATGTCTTAGGGTCACCTTGAAAAATTGTCTTGAACAGAAGATTCGTGGAATTGTGAATAATGATTCACATGGATATCTGTAATGCAGAACCACTGTGTTTAGCCACTCTCAGACAGTTGTGGTGTGCGGAAACTGCCAGACAGTGTTGTGCCAACCCACCGGCGGTAAAGCTAGGCTCACTGAGGGCTGTTCTTTCAGGAGAAAGGGAGATTGAGGTTACAGCCCCATGAAAAGGTGCTCAATGTGGGTTTTGTCTTAGATTATGGAAGGAAGCATATGTTTTTTAGTTTATATTTTCTTGCTCGGTAGTTGTAATGTCTATGGTGTTTGAACCATAAATTTCCATGAATCTTATTTCTCGTCCTCTTCAACATTGTTTGCCTGCCCTATTTTGATGAATTGGTTTGTGGCATGTTTCATATTATGACAACTTGGTGTCCAATTTCATTATGATTCGTTCTTGACTGTCACTGATGGATTGTTTGTTATCCTAAGTTCTTGAGGTCAAATCATGAACCCATTGTCCAGGCTTTTGGTCTCTCTTAAAAAAGGATGGTTTTTTGGGTTGTAAATGAGAAACACAATCATGGTAATCTCTTCTGTACATTTCTTTTGATCAAACCGGAAATAAATTGAGAAATCATGTTTGGAATTATCTATTGTTAGAGATTAGGGTTGGACATTTTTGTTCTGGAATTCAGTTATGCTCCAATCCAAATTTGTACACACGAGTCCAAGCTTGATACAACAGACTATCTAATGACATATGGATTGTTGTTATGTAAGTAGGTCTGTCTCAGATTATCTGGAATTCCTTTCCTTCCATGTGGTATATGTGACGAACTGCCATACTATCATGACTGCACATTTCATTGGAGGTGATTTCCATCAGAGACCACTAGTTAGGGTTTTCCTTTATGCCAAAGTGGCTTAAACTCGCCGTAAGTATAGAATGGGTCGCTTGACATCGAAGAAAAGGTGATCTCGTGTCTCCACGCTCAGGTTCCAAAAAAAACATAGCGGGTCAACTTGAAGCCCCCGCGAGAGTAGTGTGTCCATCCGACATCTATTACGGCAGAAAACCCAACAAATAGAGGCATGCTTAGGAGTTGCGTGCTTTGCCCGGACCGTTTTATGCCACGGAACTCTCCTCTCCGGCATTATTGAAACGCGAGAGGACCACACACCCTTGGCATCACACTTATCCCTAAGTTTTCCGTTAGTAATCCAGAATTTTTCATCGGTATGTGATGAGCGCGAAAGGGTTCTGACTTGTGAGGAAAAACTGCAACCGAAGTATCAAATCTGATCGCGGAGCCCTGAGTTGTCAAACTCCGTCTCGATGAATGTCAGCAACATACGAGTGAGTGTTTGTGTACCCGCAATGGTGCAGGTCCTGAACTACCTAGGTAGCCGATTGAAGGACCAAAGGGAGTCCAATTTTCTTGCCAAAATAATGTGCTCTTGCCATCGCCGGCTCTGATGTGTAATTAGGAGAGGGGCATCTGGTAAAGCTTGAGGAGTTTTCTAAACGACCATGAATGCCTTGGTAAGGGGTTAACCTTCCAGAAACCTCTTCGTCCTATTAAGTTTCCTTGATCCAAGCTACACATAATGATTCATTCTTAAAGAATATCTGTCAAACCAGTTTCAGCTCACATATATTATTTTAAACTTGTATATTTCGTAAACCTAGTCCTCCTTCCCCTTTGGGAGCAGGAACTATATCCCGAGCTATCTTGTGTCCATGGGTAGAGTCTATCACACCTTTCCAAAGGAAAGAAACGCAGTTGGAATTTAACAAGGTCTTTGAACAACCGCCACCTTAGGCTTTTGTAGCTCCTCCGGCTTTCACAAGGTCTTTGAGCGCCTTCAAAATCTGCGGCTCCCTCATTCCATATCCAAGTTGACACACCTCTCTAGTCTCTATGCCCATATCTGCATATCGTTTATACAAATGAAAACCGTACATTGAATTGGAAACGGAGAAAGGAAATTAGTGGCGAGTATTTAAAGATAACAACGAATTAGTTGTAAGCCAGAAAGCTCCTCCATTTTTAACATTCGAAAGAAAAGGCAGAGGAAAGTATTTTAACTTGTCCATAAGTCTCCCACAGGTTTTGCTCAAAAATTTTGTCAGTCCAATGACCTCCGATTACCCGCGGAGTGCTAACAAACCTAATTACTTTAGGCACAGTGCAAGAGAAGGGATATCGAGTTCCCATACCACACCTCAAATCAGGTAAAGTTCACAATATGATGCCAAAACACGACAAACGATGAAGACATTCTCTACAAAATATTCTGTCTGATAATATTAGTTGCAGTAAAATCCGACATAAGTTCTCTATCAAAGGGAAAAGCCAGCAAAAAGATTACCATAACAGAGACCAGAAATTTTTATGCTTTCACATCCAAGACAGGGAACTAGCAAACTCCCAACATCATCCGATAACTGGAATCCAGGAGGCTTCTAATGAATAAAAAGCGATGAAAGACGAGGAAAAAAAAAGATCTGTAAACAGATTTGAGGCAACCATTCAATATGAAAGAGATCAATCCGGAAAAAATTAATTTAAAGGCATGGACTTCAAGCGAAACAGCTTAGACAATGGTTGTACGGAAGAGCACAGCCATGAGAAACGAATGTAGAAAAACAACTGCAAGGGCGCCAATAAGCACATACCCCATTAATCTTCATTAACAAAATGCAGCTTCGATATCACTATATCACATATTTCCTACAGCATCTCTCTTTTTAGATCTCTGAAAGAAAGCTGTCATGGCTTCTTATTTTTCTAGGTACAGCAACAAAGAGACATGCACTCTTCGCACATTCATGTATCCCGGAATCGAATATATTCAGAGACACAATCAAGCTCTTAGTTTCATTCCCAAAAAGGAAAATCTAAAACAGGAAAATGGAATTGCTAATGTAACGATCACCACTGTCACGGAAGCAAACGTCCAACAGTTAAAAATCACGAGGAAGATAGAAAGCGTTTACCGTATCTCGCCCACATCTGAGGCTGGATCCCACTGCATTCGCGGACCAGGATCGGGAATGTAGGGTTTAGGCTCTTAAAGTCGTCGTAATTCTTCTCTACAAAACGTCCTAAACAAAAAAAAAACAACAAAAAAGGAAACGCGAGATGATCCAGTGAATCACCGATCAACACACGAAAAGAGAGCGAAGGCGGGGGGGAACCTGGTGGAAGCGCTCTCAGGAGAAGACTGGCAGAGCAGAATCCGGAGCTCCTTCATACTTCTCGATAGATCTCCTCTCCAACCCATGGGGGAAAATCACTCGCACCTATTTCACGCGTACACCACAAAAAACATAACACTTTTTTGTTTGAAAAGATGAAATTAACCTTAATGAATACACGATATTTATCCGTTCAAAAACAACTTCGTTATTACGACTTCGTAATTAATTCTAAATATAGTTACAATTGATTCTAAAAAAGGTGGCAAAAAAATCATCTGTCTTATTTTAGTGGTATATCAGTTATATATTAGTCGTAATAAAGTCGTAAAAAATAAAACGAAAAGGGTATTTCGGACTTTTTCAACCGAAAAGTGGGTTAAAATTGAAATTATTTTTTTTCGGTGGTGTACGCTGAAATAGGTGCGACCCAAGTGGGTTATTTGAGTAAAATTCCCAATCCATGGCTCGGGTGGGCGATCGGTGGAGTTCGGTTTAATCGGGTTCGATTATTTCAGATTTGGGTATTTCGGGTTCGAAATATTTATATCCAATCGGGTATATTATTTTAATCGGTTCGGATTCAGGTTCGGTTCGGATCGGGTTCGGTTCGGTTTATCCAAAAAATCGATTAAAAAATTCAAACAATTATCTTATAAAAATAACAAAAACAACATTAAAATACATCCAAATTTCGTTTTTTTATATACTATGATTATAAAACAATATCATTATACTATTTTTTCTAATTAGATTTAGAATATATTAAATATTAATTGATGACATATAGATGGATAAACGGATATTTTCGGTTATGGTTAATTCGGGTTCGTTTTATTCGGTTTACGGTTATTTCGGTTCAGATATTTCGGGTTTGAAATATTCATATCCAATCGGATATATTATTTTAATCGGTTCAATTCAATTCGGATATTTATCGGTCAGGTTCGGTTCGATTATTCGGGTTTGGATATTTTGCCCGCTCCTAGCTCCTCTCTCGATCCTCGACACAGCAACAGCCGCAAACGAAAACGAACAACAGAGGAAACACGTTGAATGTGGCTTGTACTCCAAGGAAATAATGTAGTGGGCCTAGATCAGACATTGCAAATTCTCCATGCATAGACTGTATGATTTCACGTAGAAGAGTTGAGGTAGATGCCGTGAGGATGATGTCATCCACGTAGAGAAGAAGGAATGCTTGTCCTGAGGTTCGCCGAAGTATGAACAGCGAGGGATCGGATTTGCTGAGTATAAATCCAATTCGGTGGGCAAAGGTGGCAAAACGGTGAAACCACGCCCTCGGAGCTTGCTTTAAACCATATAGTGAACGTCGGAGAAGACAAACGTGGTCGGGTTTGGTCTTGTCCGCAAAGCCCGGTGGTTGGTGCATGTACACGGTTTCGGTGAGGTTACCATGCAAGAAGGCATTCTTCACGTCGAGTTGATGGATTGGCCATTCGTGAGATAGAGCATGACTCAACACAACCCGGATTGTCGCCGGTTTCACGACCGGACTGAACGTGTCACCGTAATCTAGGCCGGGTTGTTGCGATTTCCCATTTGCGACCAACCGTGCTTTGTATCTTGCATGAGAGCCATCCGCCTTGAACTTATGCCTGAAAAGCCACATAGAACGAACAACGTTAACCCTCGGGGGGCGGGGAACCAAGTCCCACGTCCCATTTTTAATAAGAGCACTATGTTCCTCCATCATCGCTGCTCTCCAATGAGGGTTTTGAAGAGCAGAAAGATGTGATTTTGGCAATGGTGAGATCGGGTCAACTAGGAGAGAAAGGACCTGTTTGGGTTTCGAGATACCGGATTTGCTCCGAGTTCTCATGGGGTGGTGTGTACTAGTGTCGGAGACTGTGGGTTGTTGTGGAGGTAAGGGCAAGGGCGAGTTATGTGGCACTGTCGG